ATTATTATTATTATTATTATTATTATTATTATTATTATTATTATTATTATTATTATTACTATTACCATTGTCATTATTATTGTGCTGATTATTATTGTTAACAATAATTGTGGTGACATTGTTGGTATATCCATCATTACCAGTAATTGTTATCTCTGTGGTTATTATTTTTACAAATGTGGTCATTATCAGTTCACTGCTTTAGTGATGGTCTATCTTCTTATTGTTTTGACATTCTTTCTACGAAACTATTTTCCGGCTAGCCGGTGGCTGGAAAATCAGCGGAGATCGCACTGCAGTGATTGTTGGTCTTTCATCGATAATACCGTTAAAGGAGTGGTTCAATTTTTTTAAAAGAAATTATTTCCTGTTGCCATGTAGCTAATTGAGCAATTTTAAAGATTGATGCGAAGTTAATACTTCAAGTCGTTTTCTGTTCATCATTATCATTGTTCCATGTGATCTTTGAATATTATTTCTTTCATCAATTTTTTGTTTCGTTATTATGCTTATTGTATCATACAATATTATTTCGCTTTATTATTGCTATTGTTAATATTATTATTATTGCTGTTGTATTATGTGCCATCAACCATCAAATAATCTTTAACATCATTTTTCTAGTCATTTTTTGAACGATTTCTGTCATTGGTCTAATCTAATCAACAATGTTATCGTGTATATGCTTTTGTTGTTATTTTCATTCTTCTACCGGAAAAACTCAAATATTTGCAATTTTATGAAGTATTTTGCATTTGCTTTTATGTTTTTAATTTCACTTTCGTTATTATTATGCGTTGGTATTATTGTTCTCGCATTATTTGTATCTTTCTGTTCGGTTCTTCTGGTCTGCATTTCGCCATTTGTCAACTATACAATAGTACTAATAACAGTAGACAAAATGCAGAAAATATGCTGCAAACATTCAAGATTTCGAAGTTTTTTGGTGTTTATGATAACTTATTCATTTGTTTGTTTATTGATTGCGTTGAGTTGATTTGATTAAAGCCAATTTGTTCATTAGATTGCATCAATTATGAATTCTAATAAGTAACGACTTTTCGTATAAATTTTACCATCGAACATCCATCGATGTACTCTTTGTATGGTACTTCGAAGGATTGGTTGGCAGCCATTCAAGCTGCTCCCATTGGTTGTGCTTTTGAGCACGTCATATTCTATTCAGTTTCATTTTCGCGATTAATTATTTTTCATAATACAATCAAATTTTATTTCAGCATCAAGTTAGATTTCATTCATTATAAATTATCATTTAATATGAATGTATCGGTGGCCATAGAATTTTGAGTATATACAAATTAAATACGTACAGCTAGTTTGAATAAATTACCTGTCAACCACAACTATGAGCAGTGATGAACTAATATAAATAAATTACATTAAATGTTTACCTATGGTCATGTGAGGACGATCGGCATGAATGTTTTAAAAGACAATGAATCAGAAGCTAATTTATAGACATTCCATGGAATTAATTAATCATGATAAATTTAATTAATTAATAATCATAATTAATTAGTTGATAATCATAATCATTATAAATCGCGAGTTGAGATTATAATATATTTTTGGCGGTAACTTACAATTGTTCATAATCCTGCTTGCTGGTGACAGATGATACAAAATAAAGATGTTATTTAGCGAACAGTTAAAACAACAACAGTAACAATTAGCAATGGTGGTTGAAATGATACTCATAGATGTTTTAAGATATGCACAACACAGACATCTACCATATCTATACATAGAATGGAATGAAACATTAAGAACATTCTATTCTGGTAATTATTTTACTGCTGTTTTCATTATTATTACTGGTAACAATGTTATCATCGGCATCTAGCGTCCCATGATCAGTGGTCATTTTATCAATCACATTACTTCCTTTCGTCTCTGTACTGTTGTCATTATCGTGGTTGTTGTCGTTGTTATTGTTATCACTTGCGGTATGGAATGACTGCACGTCAGCTAGTCTAGCACTGCTGCTACCATCAGCGTTATCATTATCATCGTCGACGTTGTCATAATCACAAGAAGAGTCATCAGTTGTATGTAACTGTTCTATGATCACATTCGAATGACGATGCAATCGTGCATGACTACTGTTATCATCAAGACTCGTTCGAACTGAAATGTAATTCTTCACGGGGTCTATTCATAATTTAATACTGCATTTTTTAAAACTTGTAATATTATTGTTATACGTATACGCAAACACGGGCTCATAAAACAAAGAATTGCAAATTCTGATATGATATCGATTTGTGTATTTGGTATCGCAGAGAAGCGTTGGCGTAAAGAATGCAAGTAATAAAGTTGATTTTCGTAACCATTCTTACCACTATTGTTATTATTTTTTAAATTGCTATTCGCGATGTTCTTTAATCGTCGAAAAGTTCGATGTTGAAAAGCATGCCAACCTGGTTGTTCAAGAGCATTTTGAAGTACATTTTTGGTGAACGACAACCTCAACAGCTGGTCCCACATTTCTTCAACGGTATTCTTGCGTTGAGGTATTCCATCAAGATACACACGACCGCTTACGTCGTAACTAACTGAGCGACAACGTCGCTAAAATTATAAGGTCATAATAATAGTAAAAATAACAATAATAATAACGAGAGCGATAATTTCGAGTTCAGTACATGTCAGTATCACAGCGCAAAAACGTATTTACACATAAAAAAATATGCATTCACTCGCAGACGAAAAGTTAACGGAAGACAGCGGAAGTAGTTCGGTGAAGCGCTAACCTTCACCAAAAAGTAGCTCACTGAAGCACTACGCAAAGACACTAGCGGAAGCTATCGCTGAAAATTTCTGCTATTTGAAAATAGTAGAACGCTAACGCGTTAACGGAAATAGCGCGATATTGCCCATCGCTGGTCATTATTGTCAGTGATATTTTCTTATCAATAATATTGATCAATCAGAATGATTTTCAAAGAAGTTAAATCTGAAAATTTACTTTTTTATTTGAATATAATGATGATCGTTGTAAACTGTGGTAGAGTTCATCAGCAAGATCGCCACCGCAGTTCAAAATACCAATCATTTTGCGACGTGGTTCAATTCACGAACTGAAATCAACTTACATCAATGATGATAGCAACAATAGAGATTAGTGACGGTGATGAATACAGTGGTACTAGATATGATACCGAGAGTTGATAGTGGCTGTGATAATGCAGCTAGGAATTGATTCAGGAGCACAACAGAAAGTAAATCTATGAAGTGATAGGAAGGACGTGCGTGAAATGATTATAAACAAGTAGTGATTTTAAATTACATGATAAAATCTAGTCATTTATGCGGTGGAGTATTTGAGGTAGGTGTGGCTAGAGGTACAGAAGAAGAATCAGTTGCTTTCATGTCATACCAATTCAAAGTACTGCCGACGTTATCCAGTTTGTCCATCAACTGTTCGACAATCGTTCACTTGCTGTATTGCAACACCAATAGTAATAAGAATGGTAACGTATTAGTAAGAATGGTTTTGATGTTTACAATAAATGTTTTTATTTTTGAAATCATTAATTCAGTGTATAATTAGAAAAAAAGAAATTATCTGTGTTTATGCATCTAATATGCACTTATGTGGGTGGTAAGAGCATTTTAAGTAGGTGTACATGCTGAATACGATCCAGTCGATAAGTGGTACAGAAATAAATTGACAATGACGTGAACCATGAAATGATTTTGTTATTGATGTGCGTAGAGGTTGACAACAAGGTGGAACAGGTTGATGTTGCACGTCGATTACAAAAGTTAATTCTCCAGTCCGTTCACGGTTTGATTGCCCGCTGTGTCGTAGGCGACCGAATACGTAATTAGCTCAACTTAACTCTATGTCAGTGTAGTGCTAAGAAATGATAAGTTGTCTTCCAAACTATTATTATCTGCAGTTCATTTTGAATGCATCTTCTAATTTTAGGAAGTTACTTTTATTGCGTTTAGAATGGCACACGTTTTAAAATGATAACATTGCTATAGTAATAATGTTGTTGAGAATAATAATAATAATAATAATAATAATAATAATAATAATAATAATAATAATAATAATAATAACAATAATAATAAATAATAATAATAATAATGATAATAATAATAA